ACATCGTGGTAGCTATAGAGAATAATGATAGGTCAGGGACCTGATTGTAGAACAAAGTAGCCAATCGGGCAGGGGCTATTTGCCAAGGGAAAACAGAGAAAGAAATCAACTAAAACAGTCAGAGATGTCATGTGGAGGTCAGACATGGAGAAAATCCTCTGGACTTTTAAACCTTACTGAACTTCTGCAAGCTCTTGAGGTTTCTCTAACCAATTACAATCACCTACAACAGGCAACAGTGAGTCCTTCTCTGATTTCAGGTTATTATATTAATATTAACTTCCCAACATTTAGTGATGGTTTATATCAAGTGAAACATCTAAAGTGTGAAGTATTAATTAGAACTAGGAATTTTAAGGACATCTTACAGGATGCCTGAGATGATACAAATACAGAAAGAAAAGAAGTTTCACTGGTAAAACATCAGCCCATTTAGAAGGCAACGTGAAACAAAAAAGTGCCCAAATAATGGAGAGAATAGAGAGGTTAATGACACCAAATGCAGTTTGTAAGTTTAAAAGGTAGGGAATTGATAAGGAGAGGAAATGAAATATCAATAGCGTAATAAGATTAAAGAAAATAAAAAGGCAAGAAGACATATTAGAGGAGAAAACAGGTTAGGTATAGAGAGGTTCCTCGATTCAAATAGCAAATTCTAAATACCACTGACAGTGTAAAAACAGGAAAAAATGTTGAATAAATGTTTTTGCTCTGCATGTGGAAGGAAGCAGGAGGATTTATTCATAACACATGAAATGACAGATGAAAGAGAGTTTATCATCCATGACAAAGGAAGAGATGAGGAAATATTTGCTCAAAGTAAACATTTGATAAATAAGAGGCCTGGATAACTTATACCCAAGAATGGTGAAGAATCTGCCTGAGGAACATCCTGAACTACTAATACAGTTCCAAATTTTAGAAACTAGCATAATTCTATGGGCAGAAGGATGGCCATTATATCGGAAATATTTAAAATGGGTCAAAGCTAACCTATTTAACAACTTCTTTGCCTCCATTTTCCTGAGCAGGGACCGGCTAAGCCCCCCCACCGGCACCCCCTCAGGCCCCACGGGAGGCACACCCAGGCCAAGGGTCAGTGAGGATCTAGTCAGGGAACTTCTGGAGGGACTGGACATATTTAAATCAGCTGGTCCGGACGATCTCCACCCTAGAGTACTGAGGGAATTAGCTGAGGCCATTGCAAGACCCCTGGCACGGCTTTACAAGCACTCGTGATGCTCTGGCAAGGTGCCAGAGGACTGGAAGAGGGCCAGTGTGGTTCCCATCTTCAAAAAAGGGAAGAAGGATGACCCAGGGAACTATAGGCCAGTTAGTCTTACCTCGATCCTGGGTAAGCTTTTTAAGAGAATTATCCTGGCACATATCCAGGAGAGGCCAGGAGGGGAGATTATGCTTAGGGGCAACCAAAATGGGTTCATTAGAGGCAGGTCCTGTCAGACCAACCTGGTGGCCTTCTATGACCAGGTCACAAAATCCTTAGACGCAGGGGTAGTAGTGGACATAGTCTTCCTGGACTTCAACACTGTCTTTCACCCCATTCTCATTAAGAAACTGGGGGGCTGTGGTGTCGACACCTACACAGTCAAATGGGTCACTA